GAGCGACGGGTCTTTCGGCCTGTTTCAAGGTAGGCTCCCTTGCCATCATCAGGAGCCAGGGTGATCTGCGCACTGTTACCACCAAGCTGGTTATCCCCCTTGAATAGTGCCGCGCTAGAAAGCCGTACCTGCAGGCGCTAACGAGAGCCATGCCAACGGCTTCGCTGGGGTGCCAACCTGCGAAGGGTGTGCTTGTGCTGACGCTTCAGTGCCTTTTCACCGTAACATGGCGTAACATGGCGTACCATGGAGGCGATTCTCAGGCGCGACTCCCAGCGCTCTCACTTGGGCTCGCGGCCCTATCGCATTTTGTCTGGCTGTCGCCGCGCGCTTCCAGACACGGCGGCTTAGATGAGACAGTGTCAGCGCTCCCGTCTCGCTGCTTTGACCGGCGGCGTCGACTCGTGCCGCGTTTGTTGGACTGCGCCAGAAGCAAGAAGAGAAGGTTCAGAGACGCCACACAGACTTCCGGATGTCTTTCCCCGGCCGGTCCACTGCCTATGCTGAATCACCTCTCTGGCAGCCCTGTCTGCCCTCCATGCCTCCCAGCCAACCGGGTTACTGGCTGTCGGGATCCCAGTGCACTTGCCTTTGACCGTGGCGGCTGATGTTTGACGGGACATGTTCATAGCAGCTTGCTTTTGTGGTTTGATGAACCGTAGCTGTCTTGGAGCCTTTGCTTCCGCGTCGTTGCTTGTGACGGGGTTGCGCCACGTGGGATGGGCTGCTCCTGCCTCAACCAACCCTCGCGTGCGTGGCGATGAGGAAGGAGCTGCCCTCGCCGCAGCCCAGCACCTCCATCACATCTGCGGCGTGCAAACAACTATGCCTCTGCACCGCGGCCGCCAAAGCAATTCGCCAGCAGCATCGCCAGGTGCCGTAATGAGAGCGTTGCCCGGCTTGCGGTGAGTGGGCCCGGCGCCACGAAAATCTCGCCTGCGGTTTGTTCTGGAAAGCCTCTGGAAGGAAGAATGAATCGCCCGCTGAGTCGCCCTCACTCCCAGGCTGTCCCTGATCATCGCAGACAAACTGACACAGAATGCGCACTTATTCACGACCAAGAAATTTGGCCGCCGGTCGTTCTCAGACACGTCGCATTCGCGGATCACTGCAAGCCTTCCGCGCCTCCAAGCACACGGATGCTGCATGCGTTCGACGTCCCGGGATCATGACCAGCAAGGTTTCGCGCACAATCGCTTGCTTCTCCAAAAAACCTACACGTCGCAGCCTCGTTGACGCACTCGCTCATCCACCACGGAGCCCAGCCGTCGCCATGACGAATTGTTTCTGGCACGGAAGGAACGATGACATCGCTCTTTCCCCCTTGGGATTCCTCCGTATTACAGCCCGCCGTCCATCGTAAACACATTTGCCAGAATGCAGCCGTTATGCCAGTCCAATAATATAATTCGCAAGCAGCACCAACCCTGATTCGCCGTCCTGGGTATCGACAGGGGTCGTGTGCTTCACAATCAGGCTGAGACGCGCGACAAGGGCATCCCGTCCTTATCCACTAGCCTCACGCAGAGACATGCCGAAAGCCACGCGACACCGCCCAGCGCTCGACCAGCGTGTTTGCTCATACCGTCTTGTGTACTGTACTGTACTGAGAGATCGCTGTCTTCCGCTGATACCTGCGCCCGTCGTACGTTGGGCTGCCACAGCCTCACGCCTATCAGTGCGGGAGCGTTGAGGGCTCAAACAGCGTTCGCGATCTTCAGTCCATGCTCGCTCAACTCTATCCTCGCGATCGTGATTCACAGCCATCATCCGATAACCAGTGCAGCGTCGTCACACATCGACAGGGTCTGAACTCCGTCAGGTCATCTTCCTCTCAACGTCCGTCCAAGCCACCGACGTTTTACTGGCAGCATCGCTGTCAATTCCGACCGCCTTGCAATTTGACAGGTGTTTGACGGATTTCTCCACAGAAAACTTTGTCGAAATTGTGATCGTGAGTTAGACCTTGCGGGGAGGAGGGAAAGTGGGTCCTGGAACGGCTTTTGGCACTTCCTCTTTGAGCGCGCTACTGCAATCTGCGTGCCAGTCCCAGCGATGAGAAGCGAAGCAAGGGTTGTCATCTCCAAAAGGATCATCGCGTACAAAGAGAACCCTGCCCACACGTGGAATTCTGCTCTGTGTGGACCTTCGCCTGACTACTGGAAGAGGGCCCGCGAGCCGCTTCGCCGATGTACCAGCGCATTCATGCCGACTCAAGGCCAAGTGTGCGCTGTACGAACTTTGCGCTGCTGCAGAAGGAGAGTTCCATGAGCACCGTCGCACTAGCTGTCATGTTGACAGGTACTGGCTGGGGATTCGGTACCATTAGCCGGCGGAGCCATTTACACAAGGCAATTCAGCTTTCGAGCGTCGCATTTCATACCGTTTCACACAGCTCTATTCGGGCCTTACAGTGTAACGTAGGAACTACCTTTGAACGTCCAAGCAGGCAAGACGTTGCGCCGGGTTATTGCGAGGCCACTGCTGAAAGACCTGCTTCATCTCGGATTTGTCGCAGAGCTCCCCGGACGCCAGCGTGAAAGCGATCAACAAGGATGACTTCACATCCACGTAGCCCATCACTCGTCCCTGATGATCTCCTTGCGCTGGCGCCCAAATCACTACTCTTTGGGCTACACAGTCCGAGGCCGCCTCTCCCCCGATCGTGTTCCCTGAGCAATTCCGCGTGCCAGCCCCGCGACATTTCTCGCGACTCAATGATTGTCGCACCAGAAAAATTTCCGCCGTCGATCCGGAAGTATGTACCTTTTCGCATCATTCCGCTGCTCCGGTACTCTTGTGCGCCGTCATGAAGCTCGCTACGCCAGGCCTCGTGCGTCATCTGGCTGCCCTCCAATATGCTAGCATCCGAGGCTGACTGCAGCTGCCGAACACCAGTTCCTCTGCTCTTCGCCGACATGTCCACGTGTGCAGTCAGCACTACCAGGTAGGTTCAAGGTACGCTGCACAAAGAGAAACCTTCCTCAGCTTTGTATCGACTGCAACAGAGTTCTTCGATGCACACTAGGAAAATTTCAGTGACATCAGCTCTTCTCAGACACACGATGCCGTTCCACATGCGCGATGCACATGTACACTTCCGGAACACGATGGATAACCAGCCACTATCGATACACTTTCTTGTTCCTCCGATATCCCAAAAGAATGCGCCGGCTGCAGTCTCCCAGTAACGCCAAACGCTAGTTTCGAATAACTCCTCTTTGTACTTCGGATGGGAATGGCGTTCCAATTGCGATGGTTTTTGGCTGCATGCGTTACCCGTCGCGTCCCAATCATCGTGTCGGCAGCTTTCCTTATTCCCCATTCCCCCGGTCAGCCCAATTGCACCGGTTGCAGGTTTACGGCAGAGCTACTGCATTCGTACGATTACGCCTTCCATGTGGCATGAACCCAGGATTCGGGTTCTCGATAGACATGGGCATGACACCAAATACGGCATCTCCCTCGCGGTACCAATATCCAGGATTCCCTCACACCACCGCCTAGTGAGCGAGCTTTACTGGTCAAACTACCATTCCATGATGACATGAAGCGGTCACCATTACTGCACGCAGCTCTTCCGGCTTGCTGCTCAACACCAACGACTGACCTCAGCTGTTGCGCTGATACAGTCGTTCCGCGACGCTCCGCGCGGCCCATCCATACACCAAGCAGACTACGGCCCGTCTCACGCGCGCAACATACCACAAGCCTTGCTCGACTCCGCAACACAGTCAGCACGCGAACATCGGTACACCTAGCATGGCCGAACATGTGTAGGATGCGTGGTAGAGGCGACGGTCGCTCTTATCTCTCCTGCATCACCACCCATCCCCACCCTTAGTAACCCAACCTTTTCCACCGCGCAGTCAGCACGCTCACTCCGGTACACCTAAGCATGGTCGAACATGTGTTTCCGCGACGCGCGCGCACATCCATGATACAGCGCCATCGCGCTGAGTAACGTAGCTTGCTTGCTTGCTTATTTTTGGTTCGGCGTGCTTCGGGTAAAAGCAAGCATGCAGTATTGTGCGACCGGCATCCCGTAAACCAAGGCGCCGGGTAGATGACGGCGTGAGACGAGCCGGTCTGACCAACATTGTTCTGGAATGCTTGAGGCGGCGATGTGGCACTCAGCCTTATGGTGTTGGTAAGCCTGCGTCTTAAGGGTAAGGGTGAGTTGATATGTGGGAAAGGGGGTAGGCATCGGGAGGAAAGGAGGGCCATATGGAGATATTGCAGGGCGAGTCGGCCATGTCGCCATGGAATGTTATCGTGAGTTGGCGGCTATTGAGTCGAGAAGTTATATTCGTCTTTTGCATCTATTTTGGTGAATGGTTCGCGGTTCCCGCAACCTCTGGTACATGTCGAATACTCTTTCGTTCCCTCCTCTTTCTTTAGCCTTGCATCTCTTCTATCTCCAGCGTTTACTGCCCTTCTCTAGATGTTTGTCGCACCTGTAGAAGATGACTAGTCTTGACTATGACTATATTGATATTCAGAGGAATATAGTGATGTCCAATCCTAAACCAGTTTCTGTGGGCGCGCGGTTTCTAGGAAGTGTGTGAACTACTGCATCTGCTGCCTCTTAAAGCCCGCCTTGGTAGTTGTTTGCCAATCACGCAATACAAATACACTTGGTGCGCATTCTTTCACTGTCAATTTTATCCCAAAACGGTTCGCCGCGCGTGCCCACCGCTCGCTGCTATGTCCAACCAAAATCATATGATGGACTGGAAGACTCATGACTTGATCAACGTCAAGATATCAAATCCATGAGATCGTTCCAGAGCATCGCGGGTCTCGCGGGTCTCGCGGGTCTCGCGAGTCTCGTATGTAGCACTCTCATCGAAGTACCATTTGGCGATTCCACTCTTCACAGCACTCCACGATTGAACACCATCCGCCCTCGTACGAACTATGATCCAAGCAACATCGCCAACGCGGAAACATGGAGCACATACGCTACAAAAGGCGGATGGCTCAATTGTCTCCTGGATATGACCGACTCGGAAGCAGGCAAAGCATGGCCCGACCCCTTGGACCGGGTACCCACCACTGCAAGCAGTGAATGGCAAGGCACTCTGCAAGGTAAGCCATTAGGATCCACCCCTCCTCTCTTCTCTTCGAAAACGTCGAGCCTCTGCTTACCTCACCCGCAGAGCAGCTCGCGACCTGGAACTGGCACGAGGCCGAATACCACCAAGGCCACCACTGCGATTTCACTAATGATGGTAATGGGTACAACCGCATCGGCGTCGCGCTTGCCGCACTCGACCTAAACGCCAAACCGGCTACCGAAGGAGGAAAGAACAGGGGCTACTCAGTTGAACACCTAGATCCTGAGGAAGAGTACGAAAACGGAGAGCATGTACCGGCCAACGACCAAATGTACGCCGTGGAACGAGACACGTACACCGCTACAGGAGGGCACTACCGCTTCGTTATCAACGCAGAGCAAGGAGCGCTCTTCGTCCAGTCACTCGACGCACCCCGCCACGCAGCAACGCAGAACTGGGCCCACACGCCCCGGCCCAACGAACTTCCCCGTCTCCAGTTCGCTTCCGATATTCTAGCGGCTTATTGGTCAAGAACGCCCAATCCGAAGGGTTTGAAGTATTACTTCGCGAATAATGTAGTCAACGAGGAGACATTACCTCTGATCAACAAGATACTGCAGGAGAGTGGGTATGACAGGATACCGGAGTGGCCTGGTGTACGTGTCAGTGCGGATAGCGAAGAAGGGACTGTTTTGGTTGGTATGTTGGCGCTGTCTCTTTTTTCCTGGGTCATGATACTACGACATATCATATCTTCAACGCCTTGAGAACAAAAACCTGATTCTTACTAACACTATATCAGGCTCACCCATAGGCGCAACACTCGCGTACCTCCTTCTTCAACACAAAGCCGCACTCGGCGATAAGCGCATCACCGATATCACTATCTTTCGGGATTACAAAGCGAATCCGTCGTTTCAGGCAGATATCCAATTGCTCTTTCGTATTGAAGACGTTCCGGAGGATGTTCTAAGGCCTGACGACATGGACACGGGGGTTGTGGTTTTCAATTTACATCCGGACATTGATAAGGAGGACGTCTTCAAGAGGAGGGATAGTGTGGCGGAGGCGGTTAATCCAAGGAGAAATGTGCAGAGATTGCATCAGGTGAGTCTTGATACGGGCGGTAGAACGGCGGTGGTTAGTTATGGGGTTGAGCAAGTTTGAAGACGCCTTCGGAGTGTGCATTCACTCTGCACTCTACAATCCTAAACAATCGCCACTCGCCGCGTATGCTTTCCTATCAACGCTTGTATCCACTTGTTTAGGCGCACTCACGACTATGACGAAGCGCTTGGTGTGTTTACTCCTGACTTCTCTCGCTTGGAGTAATGCAATGCTCAACCAAATTCACACCCATACCCCGAGAAACGGAATCCGTGTGTCGCATCAGCCATGAAGAATACCGCATTTCTCCTCACCATGATCTATGTACCGCTGGTCTACAGCAAGCATGTCGAAGTATCCTTCGGCTCCTCCAACTCCACAGCATTTACATCAAGCCTTCTAGATCGTCGCGATAGCGCAGTGAGCATCCCACCTACCAACGACAAAGCCCCCGCCTCCGAGCCGAATCTAGTCCAGACTGCTGTGGACTTCGACCCCACCGACTACGCGAACGATGCCAGCTGGGATAAGTATAAGAAGAAAGGCAATTGGCTGCGTTGCCTCATGGAAATGCCTGATGAAGTCGCGGGACGAAACTGGCCTAACTATCTGGACCGCAATCCGCCATCAGCGGCAAGCCAGTGGAAGGGAACACTTGAAGGCGAGTTCTATTCATTCCATCACCATCCTTACGCAGCCATTGACACTGACCTTCATCTAGCCGAGCTAAGGGACTGGTACTGGCACGAAGCCTACTATGACCCGGAAATCAACTGCGACTTTTCGGACGACTTCGCAAACCTAGAGATTAATAACAGGATAGAGGCTGCGCTGAATAACCTTGGACTGAGTACCAAACCAGTGGAATTTGGTGGCAAGAACAAGTGTTACTCTATCGAGCACATGGATGAGAACGCGGTGGACGATGATGGTGATGACCTCCCGGTAGACATGCAGACTTACTTCCCTGACGAGGACGACGACAAAGAGTATGGCGTGAGTATTCTAGGAAGAGACATACGCCAAACATTGACAGTTTGGCTGACATACGTAGGCCACTGGAGCTTACTACCGCTTCGCTTTTAATGCTGAACAAGGAGGTAAGACATCCTTCCACCCCTCTTCATCCACCACCGCCACGCACTGACCCCCCTCTCCAGCAATCTACGGCCACAACTTCCTCGCCCCCTGGCCCGCCGCCATGGATACCTACGCCGAAGGCTTCCCAGCGGACCAACTCCCTCTCCTCCGCCAAGCCTCCGACATCATGGCCGCCTTCTGGCTGCGCAACCCCAATCCCAAAAGCCTAAAATACTGGTTCGGCAGCAACATCATCAACACCGAAACCGTGCCCGTCATCAACCGGATTCTCGTAAGCAAAGGCTATAAAGAAGTACCGGAATGGCCAGGTGTCCAAGTAGACGAGTCCAGTGAGGAGTATCTCGCGCTCCTAGGCACACCCGTCGGCGCAAACAAAGCGTTTATGCTGGTCCAACACAAGGCGGAATTGGGGTTAAAACATATTCCCAGTATTACGATTTTCCGGGATACAAAGGATCCCAATCGCCCGGACGATGCGCCGGCATACCAGCTTTTGTTTCGCATTGAAGATGTACCGCAGGATGAGGTTATGCCTGATGATACGGAGATTGTGGATCAGGAGATGACGGGCTCTGCGTCCCGGATGAGGAGAGGGCAGAGGAAGGATAGTTTGGTGGAGCTGGATTTGGGGAAGAATGTTGGGAGGTTGCATAGGGTGAGCATAGATGGGCGAGGGGGTACAATGTTGCAGAGCCATGAGTTTGAGCGGGAGTTGTAACGGGGTTGTTTTGTTGGATTGTTGTGTTGGATTGTTGTGTTGGATTGGCCTTGGTCAGCATCTGGGTGTCGTTAGATTAGAAATGAATAGCAGGTAACCGCGAATCCAGATAGATCGCGACCGCATTCACGCATAACAGGCGATTGGGTATTGTGCGGAAAGTAGACGCAGACCCGACTTGCTAGTCTCACCATTGCATCCTGTCTCCATAGTGCCTTCGTTATGGCAACCAGGATACTCAACTCAACATCTGAAGAGCCTGCTAGCCGCAAGCCACACTGCATGCATCTCTCCAGTCCCTGAAAGCCCAGCATCTGAATCAGACCCCAGCACATCATACGTAGCAAAAGAGTAGCGGTGGATCCCGCCGCCAAGTGACAGCCTCACATTCGCATCGGCGGTCGATTGGTCTGGGTGTCTTGCCGTAGCGCAGCGTGCGCAGCCAGACCCTGACAGCGGGTCCCAGGGCCGGAACTTTATCATGGCCAGGTAGCATCTGTCGTCTCCACATACGAGTCGAGCGCGCATGCGTAGGCGTGTGTCATGTCGATGTCGGAGAGATGGGATGGTTGGGAGAACTGGGTGGGTGGCTGATGCAGGGAGATGTTAGCGCTGGTGGCTAGCGCGGTCTAGTCCGCCCCGAAATAGGAGCACGCCTGCCGCTGCGTTTTTGCTTTTCTTCAACACAAGAGTCACAGCTCGGACTCGTATTTTCCTGGTCGCGAAACAGAGCTGTCGCTTTAGACCTCGATGCATCATCTTGTTTGCGCGCTCGCCTCGTGATGATCCGATTGCAATGACATTGAAGGTCCACGGGTACTTTGGGTGGTTGGGTTTGTGATGACTGTGATCTGCCGACGACTGATTCTGCGCTGGTACAGCCCTCGATGCGGGCAATCGTATAGTTTGCCTCATGACATCTATCTCTGGGCCTCTGTTGGAAACGTACTTAGGTAGTTCGTGGCAAAGGCGAGACAGCCCAGCACGCACCACGCTGTCTCTCCCGCACGCGCCACACTATCTCGCCAGCACGCCACACTATCTCCGCGGGGGATACTTGGCGCATCCTCGATGCAACAGCGCAGACGCAAACCTGACGAAATACGAGCAGCATGAACTATACACGATGTTCCATTCCTGTTAGTTAATATGTTTGCGAGTAGAAGACCGGGGCACCTAGGTGAATTGTTTATTGTTAGACGCCATAGGAAGTACCCAGGTAGGGGGCAGATTCGTGCGGTGAGTATGCAGAAGTTGACTTTAGAGAGGAAGAATATCAACAACACTAAGCAATAGAATTTCATTACCCGATGTCATCTTATGCGCATCCATACAAAGATCATCACGTCAACTGATCCTTGATACCATCGCAATCAACGCCGCTCTCCTTCAACAACGCCTCAATCGTCCCAAGATCTTCCTTGGCCTTCGAAAGCGTCCTGCCAATCGACTCGCGAACCTCGCGGTCTTCGCGGTGGTCCAGGCTCGCCTGCTCCACTCCCAATCGCTTCAGATCATCACCGATGGCCTGGAACAACGACTCAATCTTCTCCTCCAAGTACTCCTTGATCAGTTGCTTTTGACGATCGATGGCTTTCTTCAGTTTTACACAAATCGCGTGGTATGGCGTTGTATCTTCGTCGCGAAGCAGTCTCTTGAACGTTCTATGTTGCATGACCTTTCGTGTCTCCTCCTTTTTGTTTCCTCGCCTGGTCTCTTTGCTCTTGTTGTATACATCGATCATGGCGTACCCGAAGTAGGAGATATCGTCAGTGTCAGTAAGACAGCGTAATCTCTGCTTCCTACGGTCGAAGTCAGCAAAAGAAGTGGGGCGTCCGCTCGCCGAGTACCTACTCGATGAACGTTCTCAGATTGGTAATGCACTTGGTTTTTGTCGTGGTAACAGGTGCAAATTTCATGTAGATGCTGTTGAGGAGTAGGTTCAGCTCAGCAGGTCTAGAATCTGGATACTGCTCTTCATATCGTTAGCTAGGGAGTCAAGTTTCGTATAGGCAACTCACTGCGAATGTCCTCGGCTAGCTTCCCCATTGCTGACAGAATTTCTCGTTTCACTGGTTCGATACTATTCCATAGAGCTTCATGGATGTTCTGAAAAATCGGGTTGAGGCTCATGCGGTGCTGCTCGAGCAACTGATGGTTCCAACTGGGCTTGCCCTTTCTAGGCTTTTTGTAATTGCCTTGAACGCCATCAGTCGAACTTTCTATAGATGAGAAGGTGTCTATTACCTAGGTTGCCGACAAATGTTTTGTGCGTATTATGATGCCACTATAAGCGTTAGCAGGTATCTCTAAGATATTTTCAAATCCCACCTGAAGCCACACTTCGCACAGTTCCTCAGCACGTTCGATAAATGCAGGTAGCCGCGTACGCAAGGTGACCAGTAAGGGCTTTTCGATTCGATCCCTGAATACATCGTCGATGCATCGATGGACCTTCTTTACACATGTCTGGGACGGTATTAGTTTGGCTTTCGTGGCACTCTAAACCACTTACACTACTCAGATTTTCGACGCCACCTTCGATTTTGATTTGGAACACATCAGTTCGTTTGTTGATCCCCATCTGCATGCTAAGCATGAGACCTGGTAATGTTGCGCCCACATAGCGGACTAGCTCTTCTACTCGCATGGGCGAGCATAACGAGATGAGATGTTGCTTCAATGCAGGTATCTCCGTGTCCTTGGGCCTGAGAGGAAGAAGGGCGGAATCGTGAGCAGCAATCCCCCTAATGTTACGCTGATAGTCGAAAGCGGACACACAAAACACTGCGTGAGGACGGCCTTTGCCCCGTGCTGCTGCCAAAAGCCTTTCCTTCACGCGCCGGCTGCGTTCCTCAACAAGCACTTGCGCAATGCTATGTTCCAATTAGTATCAATAATGCCCGAACCCTCAAGCACTACACGTACGCTTTCTTGATATGCTTTTGCTTCAACTGGTTGCGTAGTATAGCTTCAGCTGCGGACGGGCTCAACTCTTCTTGTTGAAGCTGTTTGAGTTTCTCGTGAAGCCTCACATACGTATGCTTCTCGTCTGGGCTGAACTTAGTGTGCCTACTGGGAACCAGGCCGACGTCCTATCTTGGAGTCAGTAAGAGCGTCCTGATAGATCGATTCCTCTTACCTCAGAGAATGTAGCGACTACTGTCACGGGACGGTGATGTTGGATCTTCTCAATTTGATTGGGGAGGCTGTCGTCAGATATGATTCGACTAATATTGCACGCTATTATGACGGACGAACAAGACGGTAGGTAATCGTCCACGCTGGCACGCGCAAGGCGATTCAAGTCGTTTCGACCCGGCGTGTCAGCGATGACGACGTGCTCGGATAGGGCAAAGGGGCCACCGATTTTGACAACTTCGACAAATGGCCAAGCGTCGCAACCTCCTCTTGAGTCATCGGCCGAGCGACCATGCGTGAATCGAGCAAGCTCATGCCACAGTTCTTCGGTGGTTCTTTTGTATATGTCTGTATCCTGACAATCAAGCTCATCATACATGTCGCGAGCGCGACTGACAAGTCGATCTCGCATATCATGTCGCACAGGTGCCCGTTCACTGCTCAACAGGTAGTCCTTCATGGTCTCTTCGTCCTCAAAACTGGGGTCTCCACGGAAGAGTGCGTGGAACACCCCTGTAGCTGTTTCCGTATCTGCCCCTGGAGAATCTGGGCCTGCGGGATCTGGGGTTTGATCTCCTTCTTCATCTTCATGCTCGCTCTCGTCTTCATGTGACAAAAGCCCGTGGTTCCAGTGTTCGAAGTACGTCTCGATTCGCTTCTGTACAGATTCCCACGGGAGGAAAGAGATGATTGCGCGGTATTTGAAACGTGAGTCGTGATCGATCCAGTGATGGTACTCCAGAATCACTCTGGTCATGCTCTCGCCACTCTTTGCGGTTTGGACAACACCCTCGTCGCCTAACAGACCTCCGATAAGGCAAGATTTACCTTGCCCAGTTTCGCCTACAATGCCAATTCGCATCGGCCCGCTGACGTAGGGTGAAACAGATTTTTCTGCCTCCTCAGCTAGTGGATCCCATGAACTGTGCCAATGATTCTTTCCAAGGTTGATAGCAGCGATCAAAGAGGCGATGGTCTTCCCTGATTGTACCTCTGCCTCCTTGTATCTTGGGTCATGGAGCGCGACACCTTCTGATTTGTGATCAGAATGGGGATCGTGTCTGTTACCGAATCCTTGAGTCAACAGCGTCGAGAGTTGTTCGTTGACTTCGATCAATTTGAGGACGTCGGTCGGTGAAGCGGATAAAATACTCGGCTGCTGGGCCGACGCATGTCTTGACTGATCGATATGGGCTCGACCATCGGTGATTCCGATCGATTTGCGGACTTGCTCACCCTCAATCGAGAAGTCTGGATGTGTTTGGCATGGAACGGACGGTCGAGGAGGAGGCGTGTGTGTAGTATGCCTCGCCACAGAGCGCTGTCGTGCTAGTGATCTCGATGTTGGGCTGGCATATCGGTGTATCGAGGAAGTAGTGGATGTTTGGGGGGTTAATCTGGATCGATACAATGAACGCGCACTTGTTGCTTCTGTAAAGGCTGAAGCGCGTGACCGAGCACTCATGGAAGAGCGAGGTTGTACTGAAGATTCTGCCGTCGATGATTCCTCCATGAGACGATGGGAAGATACTTCTCCAATACGGAATGTCTCCCGGTGAGGGAGTGGTAGAGGGGAGCGCGAACGGCGCTGCGCGACCGATAGAGATCGAGAACGATCGATATCGTCTCGTTCTGGACGCTGAGGGGGGCGGTATCGCGGGATATGATCACGATCCATATCGTGTAGCAGGACGAACGAACTCAGACTCGTGCGTCAAAGTGAATAAAAAGTTTTCTTGGTGACAGACAATTAATGATCCGGTATCGTCTGTTCAGGATCCCGATGCACAAGATAGAAGAGCATCAACAAAGCTGCTTTGAAGTAAGGTGCAATAGTAGCACGAGCTCTGTTACTGAGGGCTAAACGTCGATGTGAGTCAATCAACTTAACACTGACGAGAGTCTGGCCACGGGAAAAACTCCAGTTTTGTACTGGAGCGTGGGATCCCCTCGCACCCCGACCAAACATGGAACCCCGCCATGTTGCACAGGTGAATCACCCAGGTAGTGTATGGAAGACCAGGCGTCTCCGCTGCACTGTCCGCACGCAGCCACCCGTGTCAGATGTCACACTGTCGCAGTCCTGGAACGAGGTGACAAGTAAGAGCGGTGAAGTCTGCTCTTCTCTATTGGTGACCTGTATGCATGCACTGTCCACGGGAGTGATGTGGTTATCTGCACATAGCATAGAGCTGCAGGTCGCCATCGCGATAGCGATCCTGGTGCGTCATGATAGGGTGACAGGAACTGGTTATCTGATTGTGGGGGCATGTAGGTATCAAGTTGGTAAAGTAGCGAAGGGTTTGTGGCTGGAGGCGACTTGCCATTTGACATGTTCCCAGAGTTGGACGGGAACTAGCTCCTTGGCGTATCATACCAGGCAGACGTCGCCCTGTCAAGCTAGTCTTGTACATTGTGGAAGGAGAAGCCGGGATCACTTGGAGTGGTCTTCCAAGACCTGGCCTTAGGGCAAAGACGTTGAAGTATGGACAACCATCCGCCCACTGCACTAAAAACGCGCAGGTGCAGATTTGAGTGACTCATCTCTGTTGTTCCTTGTGGTAATAGTCACGTAAACTTAGCTACCGAGGTGGCATACACAAGAACGCAACAACGCGATGCTGCTATTTGCAACCCCTCAGAACAACTGCATAGCCAGTCTGACCTTGGAGTCTAATCAGTAAAGTCTTTGAAGCAAGCAAACGCGTATGATTCCCCAGTACACGATGCCTAAAGTCGCGAGCACCGACAACAGCGGGGTCCAGACGCGTCGCGTGTGCCTGCACCGAGCTTCCAACGGAAGGTGACCGGCCATGCCGTAAGGCCTGGCGATGGCTTGCATACGCGAAGTCAATGTTTCACAGCCTTGTATTGGAAGATCCACACGGGGAGCCGGCATAGCTGGTAGGAAACAGGTTGGAGGGTGTATTCGGCTTGGAGGCTACCCTTTTGAGCCTAGCAACTGCCTATATCGGTCTAGCAGCTTTTAGGGAGCACGTGACTCTAGGAAGAGAGTTCCATGGATAGTACCTTGTTTTGATACCAAAGGAATTTTACTTTTGTACACATGCTTCCTCTATTCTTGCTCCACTCACTCTTTGCTTTCTCTTTGCCTATCTACTCCACATAAAACACTTCCTCCGTCTGCCCCCACCATCCGGGCCCCGTCGCGCTACCTTTCGCACCCTTAACAGGACTCTCCTGCATCTTATCCGTCATCTTCCACCATTTCTGCACGACCTTGTTCTCCGCCATGCGCGCCATGTCTTCGTCGAAGTTTTCGCCGACGTATTTGAAGGATGCGAAGAGCATAGGGCGGGGGAAGAGGTTCATATATATCGAGTCTGATGAAAGACGTTAGTAAATATTGCTCGATCTGATTGAAAGGTAGCTCAGATGAGTAATGAGCAACGTACAGTCCTTGATATTCGAGTCCTTAATCTGCTCCAGCACCTCCGGCCAGACCTCCGCATGGCATTTCTTGTATTCCTGCACACATTCCGGTTTTAGCCAAAGCCATTGGCCTATTCTGCGGGGACCTTGGTCTTTCTTGTCGAGCGCATCCGGGTCTTCTCCGTTCTTGATCGCCATCTCACGGGCTACTTTGCGGCGAGTTTGTTCTTCGTTTGCAAGACCGCCCGAAAGAGCGAGGACGGGGTCTGTGAAGGCGGGCCACATTGGCATTGTGGAAGTTGTATTAGGGTGTCTGGTTGTTGGTGTGACGGGAAGGTGGTTGGAGTATTTGGTGGTTTGGGTGGTGGTGTTGTTGTAGCGGGGAAATTCGCAGAGCTATAGCTTTGGAGGGGTAATTGTCCGTCTTAGCTATCTTCTCCTATTGACGGGCCGTCGCGTTTATTTATGTGAGCGCGTCTTTGTCGGAACATCATGTGCCGAGGGGCAAAGCTTGGTGGAGCTTGTACGGCCCGGCGTGTGTGGCAGTGAACATGTCAGTGTGGGGTACAGAGCTGTACGCCTAATCAGGTATGACGATGTTTTCAAGATGCGTTGTTAGATTGTGCCATACTTTTGCGGCTCAGGGCTTGGCCGTGAGGCAGAACTGTGGACAAGGCTGGGTGCCTGAATGGATTTGTGGAGAGGCAGATCATGGGATGGAAGCTTGGGTGGAGCTTTGATGGCTGGGTTGTGGCAGTGACGATGGCGCGTGGGGCAGGGACGCTAGAACTTCAACTGTTCGAGGATGGGTGTTCAGAGAGCTACACCAACTTCCGGATAACACAGTGTTCAATCTTCGCAATAAGATCGATGCATCAAGGTATCGGCTTTATAATGAATGATCTAGCAAGAATGCGAGAGCGAATGCCAGACGATGCAGCCAGCGATTGCCGGACTACATTGAGAGGTAAGTGCGACGGTCGCGACCTTACGTGTATCTCCATTAAGGCCTACACTATGACTTATTCTGGTGTTTGGTAAGTTGTCAAGGTAATATGTTCCTCCAGCAGATATCGGGGTTCGAGATTCATACGACCTGGACTGTCTCAGGATGTCGTTGTTCGCACCTGCCATTTTCGCATTCACTTTCCTCCTTTGCCGACGTCACCTCGATATACTGGTTTCTGAAGTCACCAGTATCTTGCTCGAATACTTCAAGTCCTTCAATTATACAATCGTCATATCGACAAACATCTACAGGCAGCAGGGAAGGTCTGTGTCCCATCGGCGGTGTCATCAAAGTCTTTCGCAAGACGAAAGCGGTGAACATGCTGCGAGAACATTTGACCGGACTTATGGGTAAGCCCGGAGGTGTTTGTTTCGTCGCAAAGATTCTTTGAGGTTTGCCGTCAGTCATTTTCGTCTCCATACCCGGCGTCGCCAGTGGCGATCTTTCACGTCGACGTCCACACCTCACTCCCTTCACAATTGCGCATTCCAAACGCAAAAGCTGATGTATTCGGGAATACCGAAATCGAAAGTGAAGGAGAACGAGCGTTAGTCAGCTCCTCGCTTGGCGCACTGTGGGAGTCAATATCCGCCTTTACCTGCGTTTGTTTCTCCGCCCACGCCGGTCTCACACACTCACATTTTGACGCGCGAGTCCTCCAGTCCTGCAGCCTCAGATCGATCAGACTCTGCTCTCCCCTCAGCTGAGTCGCTTTCTATCCATGTCTCTGCCATACGTCCCCGATCCGCAGGGACATCTTCCGAGCCGGCGACCGCACACTACCACTCAGTCACTACTTGCTCACCTGCCTCCCCGTCTTCCGCTGCCTCCCGCCCCAGATGTGGCTGGATGGATCGAGCCATGCTCTCTTGGTCAGTCAGAAGCTCGTCGCCGCATGTTAGATGGCCCGACGATGCGTATGTAAGACTTCCCTTCAAGCCGCTCCCACTGACCAAGCATTTAGCCGACCCACTTCACAAGATGGAGATGGGATTCCTAGAGTTCACTATCGGAACGCACAAGGAAGCGAACAAAGTCCTTCGCAACACCCTTGCCATGCAAGAGCAGTCGACACAAGACCTCCGCGACACCATTACAGTCCAGAAGGAAGCGAGACGTGACTCCCGTGATACCGTCAAGGATCTTCGTGATGTCATCAAGGACCTTCGAGAGCGCAACAGCGACCTCTCCGCAGCATACAACGACCTCTCTTTCAAGAACGCGGCCCACGTCGACCAACGAGACGAGCTTCACTCGACCAAGCTTGCGCTGGCCGAGCTGAAGAACGAGCATCTTGAGCTTCGCCTCGCCTTCAAAAGCAAAGAGAAGATCATCGATGAACTCAACACCAAGATCGAGGAAGGGGATCGGCTTCTCGCCCAGTCGCAGTCACAAGTACAGCAACGAGATCATGATATCTCTCGTTTGCGTCTCGATGTACATGGACGAGACAAGGAAGTCGAGAAGGCGTACAAGGAAGTTGCCGAGCTCAGGAAGAGTGAAGGAGCCAATAAGGAGAAGCATGAGGCCAAGCGAGCGGAGTTGCGGGAGCTGAAGGATGAGCTAGAAGATATGCGCAGGTACCATACGGACCTCCAAAGCCGGAACATCGACATCACCATCGAACTTGACCATCAGCGTTCCACCAAAGACGAGCTCACTGTCGAACTCAAGGCCAAGCATGCAGCATTGCAGACACTGAAGGGTGAGCATAAGGAGCTTCAGGTCACCTACATGACCAAGACCGGCGAGCATAGCGCAGCTATGAACGACCTCTCAGCATCGTACGAGATCAAGAAAGCAGAGCTACAAGAGTTGAAGGATGAGCTGCAAGAGCTTCGCGACTACTACAAGGGCCACGAAGAGGCCATGGAAGTGCTGACGAGGAAGTCCAAGGAGCAAGACGAGACTATCGTTGAGTTGAATGCTCAATTCAAGGAGGTGGATGATGCTATCGCTGTGTCACAGCAGCAAGTACAAGAACAAGTCGACGCTAACACCGAGCTGGCGAAGCAACTTACCGAGGCTAAGAAGAGCGAGGGAGGAGATGCTGATAGTATCGAGGTCAGTGAAGAGTACCTGCAACAGCTGCAGGAAAAGGATACCGAGATCGAGGACCTGCAAGAGCAAGTCCTCGGAGGCGTGTCCGACAAGACGGCGCGTAAGCTTGCCAATAAGCTGATGGTCAAACATAAGAAGCGTGGCGAGACTCTCAAGGAAGTGAAGCGGCAGGCAAAGGCAAAGGATGACCACATCGAGAACTTGCAAGGAAATATTCACAGCTTGGAGAGCACGATTCGCAGCTTGGACAGCAAGATTCACCTCTTGGAGGCTGATTACTGGACTGATGATTGATGATGCGTCTGAAGACACTCGAAAGAGTAGAGGCGGATTGAGACGAGATAATTCGAGGAACGAAAAGACTGTAAAATAACTGGTATCAAAATGAGCTATAGAGCCGCCGACACACCCATGCGTCCTCCATCAAATGAACCGAGTAAACCCAACATATTCGGAACTCTTCTCAGACCCTGTCTGCTGTGACATCCATAAGAATGTGAATGCCGCGAACCCTCCCACTCAAATTCTTTCGCATACTAATACATTCACGTCTGCTTCACACCAACCCCCACTACCCTCACAGTCCTACAACGGCTGGTAATCCGTGCTAGTGTCTCCAACCCATCCGTACCACAGCGCAACCACCGTATTCGCCGCAACCCAGACACCCGCATAACCAACAGCACCAACAACGTCCGTGCCGATAAGCGTCATACACCGTTGAACGGTACCCGCGAACAAGAACGCATTCAGAATAACCGTCTGCTGAATAAGCGTCCTCGTCCTCTTACTGTAGTTGAAGAAGTTATGCTCAATAGTCTTCGGCAGCGTCGCAGTACTCGGATCGAAAACCTCAACCGGCGTCGCCACCCCACTCCTCTGCGCCGCAAAGCTCGGATTAAGCAAAAACGCCTTCGCCGCCCAACCCACCACAATAGTCTTCATCAGAATCGACACCGGAGACTCATTGTGCGCCGCCTCCAGCGTAGGAATATCAAAGTACTGGACCAAGAACGTGTTCAGGAAACCGCTTGTCTGGCCCGCCCACAGCACGACAATGTACACGGCGATGGCGAGCATAGACGACGAAACCTGTACTTGGATGCTGTTGAGCAGGAAGCGGTTGCGCAGGGGCTCGTTGTTGCGGTGGACGATGGAGCGGGGGCGGAGGAGGTATGTGGGTATGGCGAAGGAGAGGACTTCGATGGTTATGTTGGCGGCGGCGGTTAGGGCGCTGATTTCGTAGTAGGTGGTGAGGAGGTAGGTGAAGGGCGCGTAGGTGAGGACGGTTAGGGCGGAGACGTCGAAGACTGTTGTTCCCATACACATTAGCCATACATCCCATCATCCATATCAATTAGAAGTAAGAGGTAAGAGGAAAGCGCGTCTTACAGTCATAGTTAAAATACCACGTCATCCACACCGTAACCCAGCGCATCGCGACGCGCGCCGCCGGCGAGTAAAACGACGTGACATCGTCCTCCTTTGGCACCTTACTCACAGCACCCAATTCCGGGCGCAGAAAGTTCGCCGTAAACTCCCATAGCAGCATGTTGATGCCCATGTTCAAGCTGATGAGAATGGGCACGCGCAGCGCCGTCGGCAGACGCGAGCGCGCGGGTGCGCGTTTGGGTGCTGGGACGACATCGGGCGCGGTGCGCTCGATGGTTGCCGGTGGTGCCATTTGTCGCGTTGAGGTTGTGGATTGGGAGAGGGTGGTGATGGGAGGGAAAAGAAAGTTTGAGGTTTTGCGCGCAGGGCTGGGATGGGGTGGGCGCGATGGCCGTGGGGATGGGGGATGAAGCTTGTGTTGGAGCTAGTACGAGATCTTTGTTTTGGACCTGCGTCATTGCGCGACGGGCAAAATAGTGAACCGTGTCCGTGCGCGAGGCAATCTCGACGCATGTTAAGTGATGTTTGTACTGCGAAGGGGTGAATGAACTGCTCGATAACTACACATCCATCAATAAAGTAGCATGGGAAGATCCACGGCTTTATCGTACTCGGCGTCGCGATGGTAGTATAGTTCGACATCATCGCTAGCTGTGGACTAGGTGAATTGAACCTTGGAAGTATCTCATTAAATCTGCAACCGCGTACCTCTCCAATCACTCTAAACAAGATACCTAAAATCACCCATCTGCTTCCTCCCCTCCTCAACACTAACCCCCTCCACAGCCGCCGTCTGCTCCGCAACATCCCCATGCACAACCCACGCATCCGTCCCATCATCCAACCGCTTATTCAACCTCACCAAAATAACCCTGAAAACAAAGCACCCCGCAATCGTAACCCCGAACATGGCCGTAACAACCCCATAACTGTTCCTGTACCCATTATCCGACATATTCCACACATAACTCCCAGCGATGTTGCCGAGCTGCGAGAACGCGTTGATCATGGCGATGGCGACGGCGCGCTTGGCGGGTGGACGCGGGAACGAGGAGGAGATCCAGGAGTAGAAGACGATGAAGCCGGCGTAGGATGAGGCTTGCAGGAAGAGGGCGACGTAGCGGCCTGCGGTGTTTGAGGTGGCCATCGAGATGACGAAGCCGACGATACCAAGCATGATCGGGCAGACGATGTGCCAGAAACGTTCTTGCTGTCGATCTGCATGCCACGCGTTGATGAGCGAGACGACGCAGGCGAAGGCCCACGGCGGCGCGGACATGAGCAGCGTGGTGATGTAACCGAAACCGAGGGTCCTTGTGAGCGTAGGGAAGAAAGCGTTGAAGCTCAATCCAACCACATACGCGGTGAAGGTGAGCATCATAACATAGATCTTGAGGTCCTTGACCGCCATGAAGAAGCCCGCGAACGCAGATTGCTCAGCCGAATCTTCGTCTGCTTCGCCTACATCTTCGGTCATGCGCAGGACGGCGACGGCGCGCTCTTCTTCGGTGAAGCCTTTCGAGTTGTGCGGGAGATCAGGGAGGATGAAGATGGCGGAGATGGCGATGAGCATCGTTGCTGCGCCTTCGATCCAGTACAACCATCTCCAGGCGCGGTGGCCAAGCGTGCCTTCCATGTTTCCCAGTACCGCGGCACCAACTAGAGAGGAGAAGGCGTTTGAGATGAGGTTACCGCAGAAGAGGATCGCGTTCCGTAGCGTCAATTCACGGCGCGTGTACCATTTCGACAGGATAAGCAGTGCACCAGGTAAGAAGGCGGCTTCCACGAAACCAATGAAGAAACGGATCGCGACCATGCCAGCGAAGTTTGTGACGTTTCCTGATAGAGTAGAGATCATGCCCCAGATGAGCATAACAACGGCGATGTAGAGCGACGGACGCGGAATCTTGTTGATGATCATGTTGGACGGAACCTGCATCAGGATATATCCCACGTAAAGAATAGACAGACATGTGCTGTATTGCGTGGGGGTGAGACCGAGGTCTTCTTCCAGACCGCCCAGACGGGCAGCGGCGATGTTGTTGCGGTCGAGATCTGATAAAACTCGTCAGTGCTGCTTCCCTTCTTTCGTATGTAGTGAGAGGTGGCACTCACAGTTCATAATATAAATCAACACAAAAAGCGAACATCTCGCATCCAGTTTCCTCTTCAACTTCTTCTCCACCTCCGCTCTCCTCTCTGGACTCATATTCGCCGCAAGCCCACCCACCTTCGCGGCGTGATGGTGTTCGGAGATCTGCGCGGCATCGTGGGCGGAGATCTTGTCGTCCGCTGGGTACTGTGTTGACACCATCTTTACCAGAGGTCTTTCCAAGCGGTCCCAATTCCCGAGCTGCGTTTCTTTCCCGGATGGATTGGCAGACCGGAGGTAAACAGACGTTCAATGAGAGAATTCTGGGGTCCCCTCTTAATATACACAAACAAGTCGGCTCCTCCGACTTTGCGGCTTCTCCAGATTTGTGTGGTAACCTTACCCCACTATACGGAGCTTGGCCTGTCTAGCATGCAGGTAGTTCGCCGTCAACCAAATACCGTTGCATTTTACCCCGACCACCTACGGACGGCGTGCATGATGCCCCAGTCATTTGTCGAATTTTTCTGGTGGTAGCTCGTGTGTTCTGATTAGTCTACCACCACCGCGCGCACGACTCATGCAGCACTGGAAACCAGCGGCGATATGTGCCTGCGAAAGAAGTCTTTCCCCGCGTTAGCTCTTTCCTCCGTCCCTGGTCATCTGGAGTCGTTGCCGTTCATCCAATCTCATCAGCCAGCCCTCCCGATTTTCATAATTGATTAGTAGGCCCAGCACTTGGCTGGCCATCTTGAACGCGACCAAGAACTCCAAGTACCTGAGGTTGCGCAGGAGGCGGGCTTGATTGTGGTTTGCTGTGCCGGTACTGGTACTCGGCTTCTGGCTGGGGCTTGTTCAGAAGCCGATGGCGACGTCGCGTAACTATGTAATGGATTTGGACGGGCAGGATCCGACAGCCGGCCGCGTTAATGCATGCCGAGGCGAAGCGAAGGGAAGGCGCATGCGTCACTCCGACGAAAGAAAGGAAGGGCGGCCTGGGGACACGGCAACGCAACGGGACGGCGTTTAGGTTGGGGATTTGAGCCGCATGCGCATGATATCTGACGTTCTCGCATTCGCATCTTGCATGACGGGCAAAATTCGATGCTTCAAAAAGTCGCGCAATATCTACGTCTCCTCTGCGATGCCGCACACAACGCCCACTCGCCACATTCCCTCCACGCCCACAGCAACATCCTCCCCAGACCACCCACACCAGCACCCTCCACCGACAAATTGCGGAGACTGGAGACTCCGCTTGCTCCAAGCGGAGAAAGACGCACATCCTCATGTGACGCCGAGCCGCACGCTCACCGCCCTGATCCAACCATCGCGTACTTGCACCTGGAGATAACACCGGTTCGCTGCAATTGTACCGTGTACGTAAATCGCCGACGAGCAGCTCCGCGGGTGAACTTCGGATCGGAGGTGGCTTTTGTGGGTCGGTTTATGAGGGGATTTCTGGGGGTGCGGGTGGGTGAGTAGGAAGACAAGGGTGGGTGGGTGATTAGTGATCGTGCTGCTGGTGGTGCGGACATGTCGTTGTGGGTTTGTTATTTTGATTCCATTTCTTGGACATATTGGTGAGGCATTGACACCTTTGGCACAGAACGATGACATGACTCGAGGCAACCGATATTTCTCGTGAAGTCGCCGAGCAGGGAAGAGACAGAACGTGCCCGGCTCTACTGGCGCTTTTTAGATAACGGTCATATCGCTCTCGAAATCATTTTTCTGGGGGGTTAGACATCGAGGTGCACTGCATGTTATTGAAATGCCGGACCATGGTCGGCGCAGGTCATCGTTCTTT